GAAGCCAGCCTGGCAGACACGAGGCTGCCTGGCCACTGCCCACCTCAGGGGTCCATCTGTAGCAGGTGCTGTCATCCTAAATGCCTACCTGTACAGGGTGCGACAGCAATTCAGTGGCAAAATTAAATCCTTGACTATTAAATTAATGATGGGAATCTAAAATATTAATATATTCTAATTGAATATTCTCCAATACATTATCTGAGCATTTGCAACAATTTGATTTTACTTTCATTTCTTAAGTAACTTTCAGCTGCATAAATACAGCCATTAAAGCAATTCAAGAAAGAGAACGTTTTCAGCTCAGATGAGGGAACGGTACACACAGAAGGTCTGCCCGTGTCTTTCACATGACTGACGGAATCACAGAACCCAGGCAGATGAGTCAGCAAACGACTGCTTTCGTCTAGTCCCTCAGCTCAGCAAGGCAATGTGAATTCACCACAGGTCTCAGCATGGGATCTGATTTCAGGGGGACTTGTCCTGGGGCTATACTTGCAGAACCACACTTGGGTCGGGGCTGTGCATGTATGTGAGTGTCTGTGCATATCTGTGCACATGTGCATGTGTGCCTAGTATGTGTGCACCTGTGCATATGTGTACCTGTGCACGTGTGTACTACATGTGCATGTGTGTACTATATGTGCATGTGTGACACTATGCACCTGTGTATCTGTGTGTGCCACCTGTGCATGTGGTAACACCTGAGCATATGTGCAGCTGTGACCCACTGGGGCATGAGTGTGCCTCAGCACACATGTACCTGTGTTTGTATGTGTACACCTGTGCACCTGTGTGTACCTATGTGTTTACCTGTGTACCTGTGTGTACCCGTGTGTTCACCTGTGCATGTGTGCACCCGTGTTCACCTATGCACCTGTGTGTTCACCTGTGCACCTGTGTGTTCACCTGTGCACCTGTGCATGTGTGCACCTGTGCATGTGTGCACCTGTGTGTTCACCTGTGCACCTGTGCATGTGTGCACCTGTGTGTTCACCTGTGCACCTGTGTGTTCACCTGTGCACCTGTGTGTTCACCTGTGCATGTGTGCACCTGTGTGTTCACCTGTGCACCTGTGCGTTCACCTGTGCATGTGTGTACCCATGTGTTCACCTGTGCACCTGTGTGTTCACCTGTG